TTTTTTTCTTTTAAAAAATAAAAGGAGGAAAATATTAACAGACAGGCAATCTTTTACAAAATAGCAAAAGAACAGTACAGACAATACAGAGTTACAAACAAAGTGGTAGGAAATTAACAATGCTTGTTGTATTACATATTGATATCTTCAAAGTGGTTTCTCATGAAAACAGATAGAGACATACAATATTGATCAATCAAGGACTCACTGACAGTCTCTTTCAGCAAAGAAGACAGTAGAACAACTATGTTAGCTATCCTGTATATAGATACATACAAAATTTCTCCTTTCCCTTTTCTTTTCCCACATCCCAGTTTCCTTTTACCCTTGAGCATTTTCCTATCATTTCACAATGTCTTTCATACCTCCTAGTTTAAATTAACTCTTTCAGGTTTTACACTAGTGAAACAATGCGGTGTTTGCACATGCATGTCTGATTTATTTCACTTATGAGTATGGTCTCTAGTTGTGACCATTTACCTATAAAAGCCTTGAGTTTATCTTTCTTTATACCTGAGTAATATTCCATTCTATAAAAGTACCACAATTTTCTTATCCAATCCTCGGTGGATGGACATTTGGGTTGCTTCCACAATTTAGCAATTACAAATTGTGCTGCTATGAACACAGGTGCACACATATTGCTGTGATATGATGTTTTCAGATCTTCTGGGAAAATACCCAGAAGGGGAAGAGCTGGGTTGAATGGGACCTCTAGTCCTAGTTTTCTGAGGAATCTCCAAACTGATTTCCACAGTGGTTTCACCAGTCTGCATTCCCACCAGTAGTGGAGAAGGGTTCCTGTTTCTCCTCAGCCTCGCCAGCATTTGTTATTGGTTGATTTCTTAATGCTAGCCATTCTTACTGGGGTAAGGTGGAATCTCAATGTTGTTTTAATTTGCATTTCTTGAATGACTAATGATGTTGAACATTTTCTTATGTATTTATTTGCCATTTGTATCTCCTTGTCTGAGAAGTGTGTATTCATCTCAGCTGCCCATTTTTGGATTGGGCCTTTGAATTTGGCGGGGGGGCTGATATTTTTCAATTCTTTATATGTTCTAGGTAGAAGCCGTTTGTGTGAGGGACAGTCAGCTAGAATTTTTTCCAAGTTTGTGGGTTTTCTTTCCACTCTGCTGGTGATTTCTTTAGATGTGCAGAAACTTTTCAGTAGGATGAGATCCCAGTTGTTGATTCTTTCAAGTGTTTCACATACAATTTGGTTTTTGTTCATGAACTCTCTGCCTACCCCTATGTCTTCAAGGTTTTTACTTACTTTCTCTTCCAATAGATTTAGTGTTTCTGGTTTAATATTGAGATCTGTGAACCATTTCGACTTGAGTTTGGTGCATGGTGATAGGCTTGAGTCTATTTTCAGTCTTTGGCAGGTAGCAAGCCAATTTTTCCAGCACCATTTATTAAAGAGGCTATTGTTCTTCAGTGAGTTTGGCCCCTTTATCAAAGATTAGGTGGCTGAGTGTGTTTTTGGTTGTGGCTGTTTCTTCCAGTCTGTTCCATTGATCCTCAAGTCTGTTTTTCAGCCAGTACCAGGCCGACTTTATTACAGTAGCTTTATAGTATAATTTCAGGTCAGGAATTGTGATTCCACCTGACTTGTCCTTGTTGCCTAGGATTGCTTTTGCTATCCTGGGTCTCTTCTGGTTCCAGATGAATTTAAGGCATGTTTTCTCGAGATCTGTGAGGTATGCTAATGGTAGTTGAATGGGCATTGCATTGAATCTATACAGCAGTTTTGGGAGTATGGCCATTTTCACAATGTTGGTTCTTCCTATCCATGAGCAAGGAATGTTTTTCCATTTATTGAAATCTTCTTTGATCTCTTTTTTTAGAGTACTGTAGTTTTCATTGAAGAGATCTTTGACTTCTTTTGTTAGATGGATTCCTAGGTATTTCAATTTCTTGGATGTTATTGTGAAAGGTATGGTTTCCTTAATTTCTCTCTCAGTCTGTTTGTTGTTTGTGTATAGGAATGGTATCTATTTCTGGGTGTTGACTTTGTATCCAGCTACAGTGTACTCCCATTTGAACTGTTACCTATATTGATTTGCCTGTGGCAGAATTTTCCTGTTACAATTTTACACCAGTTATCTTTTACCTAAGCTCAAACCTTCCAGCAACTTTCTACATCACTAAGGGAGACAGTGACAGTGCTCGTGGTGGCCTACTAGGCCATACATAATTTGTTCCTTTATTTTCTTTTGTGTGCCTCCACCTATTGGTTCCCCTTTTCCTTCTCTTTGCTGTAGAGCCTTAAAACATGCCCAGTTGTTCTTTGACTAGACAGGTCATGAGCTCCATCCTGAACTCCTGGATCTTGGTGGTTCCTCTGCCTGGAATTCCCTTCCCCTGCTACCCAAGCAAAATGTGTCCACATTTCAGGTTATTACTCACATGTTATCTTCTCAAAGTTCACCTCCGGATTTGCACCCTTACCTAAAATTACGTCTTACTGGTTTATCTACTTATCCTTTTCCTGGCCCCAAATACTTTCTTTTTCTAATTCTAGTCTTAATTCATTTTTTCAATTTTTTAAATATCTAACATACTATACAATTTATTAAGTTACCTTTTTTTCTCTTTATTTGCCCTACTGGAATATAAGATGCAGAGGGGATTTTTTTAAAAAAAATTTTTGTTCACTGCTGTATCCATAATAATTAGAACTGTGACACATAATACTGATTTAATAAACATATTTTGAATATACAATGGAACTTTAACAATGTGTATTGAGTCCGTCAACTATTAACTATAAATGTACACAATATCCACAGTAGATAGGTAAACTGCAATTAAGACATACCATTAACTATTTATTTTAGCTGAATATGGTGGCAAACACCTGTGATCCCAGCACTCAGGAAGCTGAGACAGGAGGATCACCTGGAGCTTGAGGCTAGACTAAGCTAGATAGTGAGTTCAAGACCAACCTGAACTACTTCCAAGAGCTGGTCAAAAAAACCAAACAAAACTATGTATTTCATGCAAAGTTTATCTAAAATATTTTTTATTTGTTTGTTTTTCTTCTGGTACCAGGCATTGAACTCACGACCTTGCACTTGCCAGGCAGGTGCTGTGCCGTTGAGCTAAATCCCCAGCCGCAGTTTATCTAAAATATTATGGTTTATATATGATTAAAAAGAAGAATGGGATATATACCATGATTTTATATCCAGAAATTATTTTGGGAATAAAAAACCATATTTTAGAGAAATTTTTATGAACAAAGAGGTACAGCTATTAAACATACCAGAATGTTTCCTGCAGGAGTGTAAGGGTATGGCAGTGCCTTGACAGGGAAGTGAGCATTAGTCAGAAAGAATATAATCAGAAATATTTAGAGTATAAAGTTAATGATTAACTCAAATCTCAGCACCTCAAGGGATTGTGTGTGGGCTGAGGAGGAAAGGAGAAGAGAGATAGCAGAAGGACAAGGAGAAGGAGAACGGGAAGATGAAGATGAAGAAGAGAAGAAGGACAAGAAGGAGAAGAAGGCGGAGGAGGAGGAGGAGAAGGAGAAGAGGAAGAAGAGCCTGATTTAGTGATAAGCTTGGTCAATTAGAACTTCATACTCAATTCCTTTCTGCATTACCTGATTCTTCTGGAGAGGCAGCAAGGATACAACACATCAAATGCAAATACAAGGATACAAAAAGCAAAAACTAAACATCTTGATTTGGACTTTAGTTGCACCAAGTGATGGGATGTTACACAGTTTGAAGTGATAGTTCAAGGGAAGACAGCTCTTCCAAAAGGGAAAATCATTTGTTTGATTATGAGACATTAATTTTTGTGCATTGATCTTCCCCCTTTTTCTTGCTATCTCCGGGTATGTGGCCTGGACGCAAACTTGAGAACAAAAGCCACAAGAGAAAAGTTATGTAGGAGACAGAATAACATACATCATTTTTGACAGTCTTTAACAGCATGTGGAAGTTTTGTTGCTGTTTGCATCTACTTAGCCCTTTGAACGTTGGCAGTTATCATCAAGACTGGACACAGGTGTCACTCACTGGCGTCTAGAATCAGAATAGTTTTTGGCTCTGAGTCTCAAAAATATTAGCTGTCCCCATCTGAAAGCCTGGTTGATTGTCCTTGAATATTTTGGATATGTAAACAGAATAAAATATATGTAATAATTTTAAAATGCAAAATAGTACAACTTCGTTTCATGGCTGATGATTTGTAAATAAAATAGGTGCTGAATAAATTTTGCAAAATAGCTTTCATGAAGTATAAATTAGATTGGGCCATTCTCCTATAGTGGACTAATAAAGCACAAATTCTTTTTCTTTTTTGACAGATACCAATGCTAAAATGAAGGCTTCAAAGTCAAGAAAATATATTCTTCAAGCTTTTTGCTTATTCACTGCTTAAATATGTAGTTGTTATGAAAGCATTCAATTAAATTGCCCAGTATGCCTTAATTGCAGTTTGCCTATCTACTGTGGATATCATGTACATTTATACATATCCATTCCACATAATGTAAAAAACCTTTTTAAAGAGTAGATGTAAATCACTTCAGTCATTTAGTCCCTCATGAAGATTTTCTTAGCATACACTTTTTACACTTGTGATTTCAAACTTCCATTTTTTCTAAATGCTTTGCATATAGATATTATGTTATATGTCCGAATAAGGTTACCTGTAATACTTCTTTATCACTAAAGAATAAAAAGAATTCACTCTGGTTTAAAAATATTAATGGAACTCGTAAAGATACATGAGACTCTTCTCTGTTTTTCTTTTGTGAAAATTACAAAAAAGAATGACAGAAACAATCCAGCACTTGTATACAGTGTGATTAGAAATGTTATATATTAACTTTCATTCCATAGTATTTCCTAGCTGTTTATTTTATTTATGTAAGTATATTCTTAATGTTTAAAGAACAAGGCTCTCTAGTGCATATTTTGTGTCCTCACCAGAAGCTCTTAAATTAAGCTCATATTGAAATTATAATTAATTTCACGTAGGAGGGGCACATCACCGTTCACTCATCTATTTAGCAGTGACCATGCTGTGAATCGCTGAGGACACGGACAGCTGTGTTACCTGCTTCATTGCTCTTTCAGAGTGGCCAGGACCCAGACACGGAGAAACGAAATTATACTACCAGGTAATCAGAGTTACAGGAAGGAAGCTCACGTACTCTAGAACATTGAATGTTTGGGCCTACGGTGCACTGACGGCTACAAAAGTCTTCTTGTGGATAGTGATTATAAATCAAACAGTGAAAAAGCAAGGCAAAGTGGAGGATGAGCCTATGGGGAAAGAGATACCATGCAAAGGTATATCATAATCAGAGACCAGAGAAAGCCTGCCTCTCTCCAGAAAGTAAAAATATTCTAGCATGGTGGGAAGTAGAATAGGAGCTTGGAAATAGTCTGGATAGTGACGAATAAAATCTCATCATTTATCTGAGAAAGAAGGTTCTTAGATCATGCTATTTGTTGCTTTCATTATTCACTTTTAGTCCTCGTCTCCTTAAGACACTCACTCTGCATTTTCTTACGAATGTACAGTTTCTAATAACAGTGGTTAGCACTGGAATTTTATGCCACATTTGGGTAGCTGAACCATTACCAAGTCTAGAAGCTCTATCCCTGACCTTCATCTCTACATTAAGGATTCCCATCTACTAAAGTCTGGCTGCCACAAACCCAGGCTCTCCATTTGGTACCTGTTCTCATTATACCTCTAGGTAAATGAATAAAAGAAATACTGTGATTTTCTAAGGGATAGAGGAAAGGGATGCTGATACACACTAGTAGTTCTTACTAACTTTGACTCACTCCATTAACGCTGGTAGGAAAACAGAATTAGATCCTTTACAAAGTCTCAGTTCTACTTGAAAGCTATGTAAACACTGTCAAGATACTTAATTTCTGTCAACTTTAGCTATTTCATTTCTAACAACTTCATAAAATTAGAGACACCATAAACTTTGTGTTGTCACTAGGAATAAAATGTAACTACATATGGAAATATTTTAGAACAGTATCTGACAGGGAGAAAAAGTTTAATATAAGAGATATTCCTGCTAAAAATTTCTTCAATCTTTTTTCTTTATAATAAAATATTAATCTCATATGACTCATGAAGAAATAATAGGTATTAAAATAGTGAAAACATTGCAGTATATCTGGTGTGTGGTAGACACTCACCCATCATGAACCCATCTCTCTTATTATGTTTTGAGTGTTAAAAGAGGTGGTTTCTTATACATGCATGTATCAGAGAATGGGGGTATGGTATGTATACATGAATGTAAGAGTATGTGAGAATTCTGTCATGGGATTTATGGAAGTGAATATTGACTGATGGTACCATTAATGGTTTAAATTTAACAGGGAGTATAGTTATAATTCTTCATTTGTTCAAGATCTTGAGTGACAAAAATAAAACTATGATGCTTAAGTCAAGTGCCAGTCCTACAAACCATTTTTTTTGTACAAATAAGTAAAACTCACCTTTCTGGTCAATGCTTCATTGTCTTGGTTACTTTCCTCTCATTGCTGATATAAAATACCTGACATTCAAAATTAAGGAAGGAAGGGTTTATTTAGTTTACAGTTTGTGGAGGTTTCGGTCCATACTTGGCTGGTCCCAAGGCAGAGTGGTACATGGCAGAGGGCAAGCATTCATGGTGGCAGAACAGCAAAGCAAAAAGAGCAAAAGAGAGGAGTGGAGCTAAACAGCCTCTTCCTCTCCCTTACATATGCAGACTATCCATCCCTGGGAAGGGCAGCTCTCACACCCATAATCCTAGAAGCCCACCCCATGACTGCATGAGATTTGGGGGAACCTGCGGACACAAACCATAACAATGATAAAATACATGAAAATACATAGAATGCAATATTTATTCAGTGTCAGTATAAAATACACTGGTAGTATGTTTGTTAAATATTTTTTTTTTTTTTTTGGTTTTTCTCCGGTACCGGGAACCAAACTCACAACCTTGCGCTTGCCAGGCAGGAGCTTTTGCCACTGAGCTAAATCCCCAGCCCCTGTTAAATATTGTATCTAAAAATATTGAAACATTACTTCAATTCTCATTTAGATTCTAAACTGGGAAGAAATATTAGTTTTCCTCTAATACCAATCCCCTGAGCTTTATAACCTCATCCCATAGCTACACAGAGGAAACATGTGGGGGACTTGCCAAAATACAAAGACAAAGTAATTCTCCATGATTTTAATAGATATCATTGTTAATGCAATTTGATTATATTAAAAAGACAGTATTATCAGATAAAATACTGTCACCATAAAATACTATGTCCCTTGAACACTCAAAAATGGTTCCTGACTTTTAATGGACCTTTTCTGATATTGAAAATCACAAAGCAATTTGGAGTCACTTTAATTTCAATTTGGAGTCACTTTTCCATAAATATATAGTAAAGAAAGTGATGAAGTGAATTTTGAGGGACATTCACACATCATCAGATCTACAGCATCTAGTGAAAGCAGTGTAATTTACAAGTCATAGATTGACCTCAGAAATTGAAAGCAACACTGCTAGATATGCTGTATTCTGTCTTTCCATTGTAAAAGGTCTATTGATTAATATTAGCCATTGAGAGAGAAGAAAGAATTGTTCTCAATGCTACTGACAGAGCAATTATTAGATTTCAGGATAAGTTCAAAAAGCCTATATTAAAATAATTTTTCAGAACCCAGTTTAAATGTTTTTGTCTCAAATAGTTTGGTTGATACTTCTTAAACTTAAATTTTTACAGTGTTATCTCCTTAATACTTCATCCTTGTTTTAAAAACAATCTCTCTGAGAGAATGCCAGGAGGTTTTAGATTCTTGCTCTATCACAGATCAAATATTTCAATGTGTTGGTGGCTAGAAACTCAGATAAGGCACACATTTTAGCAATACGAATATTGCTTCACATATGTGTCCTAAAGAAACCATGAACCTAGTATTACAAAGGTCAATATATATAGTCTAGCTTGCTGAGCCTGTGAAATACGGAGATGCATTTATGCAAATGAGGAGACTAGTTTACATTTATGCAAATGAGGAGAATTGTTTGGCAGTCAAAGTGGAGGAGGAGCTATTTAATCTGACTTTTAAAATGTAGCCAAAATTTACATTTCATCAGGTTTTGTATTTAAGTTGAACTAACATCTGGCTGTAATTTCTTTCCAAGCTGTATTTCTTTTACCTACTTTGCATCAGGTCTAAATTGCTATTTTTTAGCTCTTGCATTTTACAAACAATTATGTAATTAAAGAAAAAGAAATGTTATGGTTAATTTCTACACACTAGAGGGCACTAAAATATCCTACAAAGAAATGTACCCAATAGTTTGCTTTAAATGACTTTTGAATGAACAATTAAAATTTTAAACCCTGCAAAAGAAACACTGGAAGAATAATTGTCTTAATGGAACACTGTAAATATTATCTTCTAAAAAATGAAATCGAACAATGATTTTTCAAGTGACAATTTCAATTTCCCCGGGAAACAATATCTCTAAGCATCAGCATCTCAGGATATTAGATAGAACCCTCTCAAGCCTTTTCTTATAATTAATCTCTTCGCTGAAGTTGTAATTGCCAACCTGATCTAAACAGGGTTTTCACTCACCCATAATAGTGACTTTTCTGACTATATTGATATAATCTCATCAAAATACTATAATGCGGTGATGATGAACCTTTTAGAGCTTGATACAATTATACGATGATACAATGATGAATCTTTTAGAGCTTAATACAGTTACACAATGATACAAACAACCCACTGCGACATACACATCATAGGTTCGGAACCATTGCTATAGTGCAGTAAATTCTCCTCAGTCTATCACTGTTAGGGATGAGAAATAACCAGATGTCTCATGTCTGGGTAGTTAAGGAGTCAGAACTCACAAATTCATGTTTTTGTTTGGTAGCCTTGGAAATGTACTTAAAAGCATAAGATTTTTCAAAATGTCAATCACGTTTTTTGAATAATTTTATTTGCTTTTATCTCTTTATGCTATCTTTTCCTTCTTTATTAATTAGACTTCATGCTCTCAGCACTTTTTCTTTTTTTTGTTACCGGGAATCAAACTTGGAACCTTTTGCTTGCCAGGCAAGTGCTGTACTGCTGAGCTATATTCCCAGTCCCTGAGCACTGCTATATTCATTCTTAAATAGCTTATGAGTCATAGAGAAACAAAAAATGCTTTCTGTTCACCTTCATGTGCTTCAACTAATAATGAGGAAGGGCACCTAGAACTTTGTGGGCTATAGATTGGAAACAGTTTTCAACTCTGTCTTGATTTTTGGAGCCATTAATTTTAATGTCTATCTTGTGTGAAATGTGCACAGAAAAGTGTTCTAGTGCCAGAACTTTGAATAGATATAAAAGCCTCCAAGCAGAATGAAGACAGAAATGTTAGAAATGCAACTACATGAAAACATTAATTTTGTAATATATCATTTTGGATAAATATAACAGTACTTGGTCTTGAGAATTGGGAGTAGGAGTAATTTTTCTTAGAGATGATATTCTAGGAGTTTGGGTTGAAAGATGCTTACAACAGTATGCACATTTGACTACCTGTGTTGTTTCCAGCGACACAGAAAAACATATCTTTTAATTCACACATCCATCTATACTGTTTTTTTTGTTTTGTTTTTCTTCCGGTACCAGGAACTGAACTCACGACCTTGTGCTTTCCAGGCAGGCACTTTGCCACTGAGCTAAATCCCCAGCCCCCATCCATCTATACTGTTGAGGGCCATAAAAAAAATTCTTTCATTTTACATCGTCTTTAGTGCATTCAACACATTCTAGTGGTCATTAGCACCACAGCCTTAAAATTGTAACACTTACGGTGGCAGATCACATTAAAAAGATATTTTAACATTTTAAAGATATGAAAAAATAATTTGTAAGCACAGAAGTGGATATCAAAATAATACACAGTTTATCAGATCAAATCAAATGGCAGATTTGACATTCGAGGGGTAGAAGTTCTGACAAATGACACAGATATCCTCATGGTAGTGACATATTCAGGTTGATTTAAATCTCATTTGGATGTTTGTTTTCTTTCAGATTATCCCGCATATTGTGTGTTAGTTATATTCTTAAATATCTAAAACAGCATCTTGTGGAATTTTGGAGTTTGCATTTGGGAGCCGGTCTGTCCTGCTGGAATGTTGGCTGTTTTTTAGCGGTGGAATGAGCTCCCGCAAGTTGATTAACCTCCCTGTGGCCTAGTCTCCTCACCTGGAATGTGTAAATACTGTAGTAGACCTGGTGCTTTGAGGATGAAAATAAATTATTCATCTAAGGGGTTTTAATCAGTACTTGAGTAATACACATTCATTAAATATTTACAGAACAGGTCATTTGTAATTATCAAAATGTTATTTATGATGTTTAGAAAAACATTAATGGCGAGTTTTCAGTTTTGCATGTCTCTTCCACCTAAAATCCCCTGATTAGATAGCAGGTAACTGAAACAGCAAAGTAAGACCCTAAGTACAACTTAGCTTCGTGCTTACGTTTGTGATTAGAAATACATTCCAAAGGTGCATTTGATTTTTTAATTGGTAATATTCCTTTTTACAATCTTGTTTACATTCCGAATTTGAGGAGTTAATCATTTGATTGAAGACACACAAATGTAAATTTCAGCCCAATCTATCAGAATATAAGAATAATACTCAGGTCATCCAATCCGTAATTTTTTTGGGCTGGGGCCTCTATTATTTACAACATTAAACCCAAATAACCTCGAGTTGAAATGATTTGCTTATGTAGCCTTTTATTCATGTGTCCTGTGACTCTCAGACATTTTATAACTAGAAGTTAAACTAAACTTTTTTTACACTGACTTTCAGTATTTTGTGTATGTGTATTAATGATGACTTTAAATTTTGTATTCATAGTATATCCATGTCCAAGTTTCATTCAAATAAAAAATTAATGTTAATTTATCTTAAAGTAGAAATAGGCTAGTTCCGTAGAAAACAGAAATGAAAACCATCTACAGGAGGTCACAAAATATGTAAGTATAGAGATGTACTTGGAAATAAATTCAGCTCAAGGCAGTAGTTATTACATACAATAAAAGCCAAAAATGAGCTACGGTACTTAGAAGATACGAGAAGTATTATTAGAGGCCTGTGACATTGAGATGGCTGTTAGATATGGGGGCGAATCCTCCCTGCAAAATGAATCTACTTAATATAAAGTAAAGAAATTTTAAAAATGTAGGGCAAACTTCTGTGTATTAAGCACTGCCTCAAGCACATTGTAGTATACATTAACCCAGTAGTTGATTACAATATTGTGAGGTAGTTCAATTATTTCAGTGTAAGAAAATTGAAGAATTTTGAATTGTTTCTAATGTTTCAGAGTTCCTGATGTTTATGATCCTGAAAGGGAAGAAAAAAAGAGAACAGTATGAGTTAGAATGAGGGTTACATTTTGAAGAGATATAACAAAAAGTCATGTTACACAAGATATAAATGTATTTTTATAACCATTCCTCTCAATTTTCTATCCTCATTCCCATCCTTAATATTTTAATTCATGATTCCAAGATATAGAACATCCAGTTGCTGGAGTGATCCTTTGATCTTTAAATTCTTTTTTTTTTAACTTTTAATTCCTAATGTCGGAACTGATATTTCCTGTGCCTGGAACATTTTGTTCCCACAGGCTCCAAACAATTCATACTCCTCATGCTAGGTTTAACTTAGATGTCAGATTCTTTAGGATTCTTCTCAAGATCTTCACTAATACCCTCTGGCCTGTATTCTCAGTCTGGCCCAGGGCTAGGAGAGGATCCTTGAATGTCTTTTTAGAGAGACTGCTCTATTTTTACAGTAGTTGTGTAGTGATTGTGCCTTTCAATGTATTTAAAACTTTCTGAAGACAGAGGTCTGACCCAGTTTATCCATATGGCTACCCATGTGAACATAGTTATCTAAACAGGAGGTGGGGCATGGATGTGAAAAAATGGAGAAAGGGTTGATAGAAAATTTAAAGAAAAAAAAATGCATTATATTGAAACAGAGCCATTTAAAAACATATATATGGGGAAGAGTGTATATTTATTAGATGCTAAGAACTATATGGAAATTTTATGTCTTACATATGTAACCAAAATATGTTGTCTTATTTTGGTTATTGCATTTGATTTTCCTTTTGAGAATTATTATTTTTCTTACTTTCAACCATGTGCTCCATAACCCATACCTGGCCCAGTAAGAACCTCACACACAGTGATTTCTTTAGTGCTGTGCACATGTAAAAAACCAAGGATAGTCAACTCTGCAAGCTTCTCCAGAACTGTGGGATAGAATGTCTTCATTTCTTGTTATATTAACCCTGATGCATGAATACAAACCTGAGTTTGTCTATCTACTTATAAGCATTGTCTTTAGGCGTAGTTGACCTGATGTTGTTTCCCCAAACAAGTTAAAACAGAATCAGTCAGCAAAGAGACTTGATGGTCTCTGTGATTGTTTAATTGCTGGAGGAAGTAATACCTAAATTCATAAACCCTCTCTTGACTTACTGATTAAGTTGATAAAGTCCATTTTAAGATATTTGTCTAAGGTAAGAGACAGATGAATATGGAAACATGTCAGTTGATCTTCTGAAATGAGAAGAAAGAAGAAAACTGTAAATGCCACTACAAGTCAATATTTAAGGATCATTTAGCTTTGCAATATTATTTCTAAAATAATACAATATAATTTGGTATACTACTTACTATAATTTGTTAAAATATATTTTATTTTAAAATGTACATTAACAATTTCATATCACTTTTGGCATGATAAATATGAAATTCCCACCTATCTGAAAATTGACTTCTGGCATTATTACACCTAGTTATACTTTTGTCAATTAAATTTTATTTTTGCTTGAGCATGAATTCTGTGCTGTATTTATGCATCAATCTATTATATTTTAACAGTTGAAGTAAGTTATATATTGTAGTAAAAACCTATACTTTTTTGGTAAAGTATGAAAGCTGTTAACATAACTCCTAAATTGGTACCAGGAATTGAAACTCATGAAGTTTGCACTTGCCAGGTAGGCGCTTCTGCCACTGAGCTATATCCCCAGCTGCTTAACAACTAAATTGGATACTCCTGCTTTTGGTTTCTCATTTGAGATGGTACTGAACCTACATGAAAACCAAAATTTATATGGATTTGCTTTAATCTAATAATTAGATTAAAGATAATTAGAAAGTATAACCATAAGTGACACATAATTTGCTTCCTGAGTGCAGTATTTTTAATTTTAAATTCTCTTCAAATTTTACTACAAACAAAAGAAATAGGCATTTCTTTTAATCAAATAAATTAATGGCATATCTTTCCTATTTTCTACTTATGTAAATTTTACACAACCACTCAATTTCTTCCAAGTTATCAAGGAATAATGTTATTTATGGCTGGACTAGGTAGGTTATACATAGAAATCATATATTCAAAAACTAAGAATCAAATACAAAAAAAATTTCTTCTGATGTTTTCAAAAAGATAGTTTTAGAATTTAGAGTAGTTGAGCATAATTGAAATTTGTAAGTTATTTTGACTATATTATATATTTAAAAATAAACTGTGTTACTAGAATTTGATACCTGTGTAAAAGACATAAATTATAAAGCAAAAAACCTATCATGAAAGATAATAGTGCAACTGATACTTATGAACTATATACATAGCCGAAGAACTGGATAATTGATGGTAACGGAATCTACCTACCAGCCCCTCTCTTGATCCTTTCTCCAATATCTCCTAAGATTCAATATAATTTTCTAAACTTATTTTACCTATGGAAACAGTAAAAGTAACAATTTTTATTATGTTTATTAAAACAAACTATTATATGGTGGGCAGAAAAGTCAGAATGCAGTGAATTTATATTTCACAATGTACATAATATATTTATATAATATAATAACATGTATTATAT